GGGATTGGAACCCAGGCCTGGCAGCAAAGCCCAAGCTTGACAATGTCGAGAGGGTCTGGAAAACGATGCACTTCCTTTCACAGATTTTCATATTTGGGTAAACCAAGTCACGTCAAGCAAGCACCTGGGTGGCAGGACCCTAGTATGCTGGGATCTCAGGTCAGCATTAGACACAATTGCCTTCTGTGCTAACAGACCCTGCTGCAGTTAGACTGGCAACACACCCACCGAGGGAGGAACATGGCTGGAGTCGGTCAGTCCCCGCCCTCCCTTTCCTCTTTACTGGTGGGAGCGAGTGTGACCCAGTTCTAGCCAGTGAGTCACACAGGAAGCCTGTGAGGGCTTCCAGGGAAAAGTTCTCCTCCCTGATCAGAGGGCTGCTGCTGCTCAGTCACCCAATCGGGTCCGACTCTTTGCGACACTGTGGACCGCAGCACGCCAGGCCTCCCTGTCCATCACCATCTCCTGGAGCTCGCTCAAACTCATGTCCATTGAGTCAGTGGTGCAATTCAGTGATCTCATCCTCTGTTCTCCTCCTGCCCTCAATCTTTCCCAGCATCAGGGTCTTTTTCAGTGAGTCAGCTCTTCACATCAGGTGGCCAAAGTATTGGAGCTTCAGCTTCGGCATCAGTCCTTCCAATGAATATTCAGGGTTCATTTCCTTTAGGATGGACTGGTTGGAACTCCTTGCAGTCCAAGGGACTCTCAAGAGTCTTCTCCAACACCACAGTTCAAAAGCATCAATGCTTTGGCGCTCAGCTTTCTTTATAGTTCAACTCTCACACCCATACATGACTACTGGAAAAACCATAGCTTTGAATATATGGACCTTTGTTGGGAAAGTGACTTCTCTGCTTTTTAATAAACTGTCTAGGTTTGTCATCAAAGGGAGATTGCCCTGATTAACCAAACAGGGCAATCATGGGGGGTGGAGGGCCCCTTTGCCTACGCACATCCTTGCCCAACCTCATCCCCAGGGTTGAGTCTCAACCTGTGAGGATAGGATGTTTGGAGTTACAGCAGCCGTCTTGAGACCATGAGGAAAGGCATTGCTGAAATGCAAAAGATTGGGGGTGGGGCAGTTGGGGTGGAGAAGTGAAAAAAGAACCCAGTCTTTGATGACTTTGTTGAGCTGTCATATTAACAAGCTCTGGTGGGTAAGAAGGCTACTTCCAGGCTTCCTGTAAAGATGATAAATACCCATGTAATTTAAGACAGTGTAAGTTGGTTCTTTTATTTTATTCATCCAAGAGCATCTTCAATGACTCATAGACTTTGAATTTTCATGAGCAGTGAATAAAAGATCAATCGAAGACTATGCAATCCTCGTGCTTGAATAAACACAACCTCTTTAAAACTCGCAGGAAATCTTAGCTGTTCCTGTCATTTCTCAGCAGGTTAAGCAGACATGCCACAGCAAGGGCCCTGCTGTGTCTGCAGGCTGACAGGGCTCCTGGCACAGAATGAGCCTGTGGGTGGGCGGATGCCCGGGGGTCTTGGAACCAGGCCTGCATGCCCACAGACTCCTGCCACTGCCCCCACTGATGGCAACCCGCCCCAGGCAGCTGCTGGGGCTTAAGGGTGAGGCCCAGATGCTGGCCCGGCGCTGCCCACCCCGGCTGTTAAGGACCAGGTCAGACCCATTCCCAGGTCTCCTCGGGAGGCTGGAGCCCAGAGAAGGACCCTGGGGGTGGGTCATCACCCCCCGCCACCGACCAAACCCCTGGGCCACAGCAGGTGATGGGCTGGGTGCTGGACATCTAATGCCTTTTATCCAGTTCCTAGGGTCAGTGCCCTCAGACAATCCTTTTAAATACAGCGAGCACTTCCCCTGGGTCTTTTAAAATCAGCTTTTAAAAAAGAGCAATCTAATGGCTTTGGCTTTTCACGAACACAGCACATGCTTCTGCAGGAGAGCAGAGGAGATTGAGCCAGGCAGATGCCGTGGTGGCCGGGGCAGCACTGAAGAGCAGGAGAAACGGGCCGGGCAGGGCCCCAGCCAGGGTGTCGGGTCACGGCCTCCCCGGGAAAGGTCCCCGGGCACCGGGGCAGCCCCGTGGGCCTAGGGTTGAGTGAAGGGCACAGGGTCACGGCTGAGGGCAGGGCTGCGGTCCTCAAGTTTTCTTTTCAAACAACCGGACTCAACACCAGAGCCCCCACAGAGTCTGTGACTTGATGCGCCTACAGGTGGGGCTCCTGGGGGGTGGGGGCTCTCTCCGCTGCCCTCCTTCCCCACCCCCTTCATCCCCCTGTCCAGGAGGCCCCTCCACGGAACCCGAGAGGGAAGACCTCCATTCAGGGGTCTTAGCAAGAGACAAGGATGGAGGATCCAGGGCCAGGGCAGTGCCCGCGTGCCCCTGGGGAGACTGAGTGGCTGGCATGTCCCCTCTATGCGGACCCCCAACAGGGAGATCTGAGCTCCGAGACACCCAGTTCACAGCCGTGGGAGGCACCATCCGGGCGTCCAGCCATGTGCCATCATAAGGTCTGGCAGGAGCCTGGGCCCAGAGGGGTGGAGGCAAGGCCAGGCCCAACACACGCTCCAGCCAGAAGGCCTGGCCAGCCTCAGGGCACAGGGTGGCACCCTGTTCACTCAGCTCCAGCCAGCCAGCCGGGCTCCTGTCTGTCCCAGGCCCACTCTGCGCGAGCCCGTCAATCCACCCCCAAGTCGTGCCCACTCACCCTCACACTGCACCCGCCCTCCACCCCTCGTCCGCCCCGCCTTCCCGCCCCACCCCATCCACCTCCCGCCTGCACACACAGCCCCTTCCCGGGTGCACCGGCTGAGCTCAGAGGCACCTGCTACCTGGGGCCAGGTAAGCTCAAGGCGCTGCCTTCATCCCAGGCGACGGGAGAGGCCGAGGCCCGTCTGCCTGGAGAGCCCACTCTGGCCCCCGCCAGGTGAACGGGCCGGAGGCAGGGGCCCGCTGGCGACCCTGGCACTGACCCGGGGTTGGGTGGGGTGAGGGGTGGAGCGCAGTTGGCCACTGGGGTTTTCTCTCCTTCCAAGGCTCACGTGAGGGCTGCCCTTTCTGTTTCTCCCATTCATCCGCATTTATCCTCCCCCCTCTCTCCCCTGCTCTCTCCTGCTCTCGTTTGAAGATCTTCGGGTCTGGGGTCTCCAGCAGCTGACTGGATTTGCCCCCTTGGGCAAGAAGGGTTCCCCTGTTGCCTCCGTTTCCCCTCCTGGGAAAGGACAGGCGTGGACCAGGAGATCTATAATTCTGAAACTCCGGGGCAGCCGGGTGAGGTGGCAGCTCTGAACACAGGGTCCATCTTTGCTCACTGATGACCATGGCCTCCCTGACCCCCGGCCCTCACCTTCTGCCCCCTCTTCACCGGGACACAAACCGTGCTGGGGGCCGCACCCCGTCCCTCTGCGCTGGGGTGGGGGCAGAGCTGAGACTCATGGGAAGGGCACCCCCACCCCGACTCACGCCAGTGGCTCCCCCAGGGGACAGCTGTGAGTCACAGCCACCCTTGAATCCTCATTTTCAGTGGAGATAACGCCACAGCCACCCCGTCCCCCAAGACTGGGGGGCTTTAGATGGAAACACATGAGAGAACTGAGCTCACAGGAAGTGCTCAGCCGAGGTGAGGGCCAGGGGAGACAGAGCCGGCTTCCGGCGCCTCGCAGAACCAGCGGGCTCCTTGGGGGCCCTGCTGCATCCCCAGGGGCCCCCTTCCCAGCTCTTGGCTTCGACCACTAACCACGAGCTTTCTCCACTGAGCTGGTAGATTTATCTTCTGACCAGACCGCAGCCTCCAAGCTAGGTCTCATGCCTTCCTACTCAGCACTTTCAAAGGCCGGACCTGGCGCACAGTAGGACCTCCTGGGACCATGGTGGGCTGAAGGGACTCAGGCAGCTAACGGGCCCCGTGGTGCTCACAAAAGCCATGGTGCTCCGCAGTCTTACATGTGGCGTGTTCGCTTCCCTACTTGGACCAGGAAGCCCAGGCCCTCACTGCCCGGGGCCCCGAGGTCCATCTGGGAACGTCCCTGCATCTCTGGACGGCGTTCAAACCCACCGGACGGCAGGCTGTGACAACACCGTGCGCTGCCCAGAGGTAAGGTGGGAGTTGCAGGGTCATTGAGAGAATTCTTTAAAACTACAGGGCTTCCCAGGGGGCACTAGTGCTAAAGAACATGCCCGCCAGTTCAGAAGACATGAGAGATGGAAGTCCGATTCCTGGATTGGTCAGATCCCCTAGAGAAGGTCATGGCAACCCAGTCCATCATTCTCGCCTGGAGAATCCCACAGACAGAGAAGCCTGGTGGGCTACTGTCCATAGGGTTGCAAAGAGTCAGACACAACCGAGCAACTTAGCACGCACGTGTAAATTCTTTGAGTCTGGACACTGTGCCAGATTGCTTTGATTTGTCCATCCCATCCCCCAAATGCTACTTTTCATGTGTTTTCAGGAAAGTGAAAGTGACTTAGTCATGTCCAACTCTTTGCGACCCCATGGACTATACAGTCCATGGAATTCTCCAGGCCAGAATACTGGAGTGGGTAGCCTTTCCCTTCTCCAGGGGCTCTTTTCAACCCAGGGATGAAACCCGGGTCTCCTGCATTGCAGATTCTTTACCAGCTGAGCCACAAGGGAAGCCCAGGAATATTGGGGTGGGTAGCCTATCCCTTCTCCTCCAAAGAAGCCACCAGCAATGGCCATTTACTACGTGGCTCTGGGATCCAGGTGGCCACTTTGCTCTGGCCAGTGGACCCGAATCCTCGGGCCATCGAGGATGCTGCCTAAGGCCTAGACCTCGTCCTCTCACCCGCCGCCCCCTCGGGCAGGAACTCCCATCAGGGAGGCAGGCAGGCCACGCTGAAAAGACCATGTCGGTATATGAAGGTTGGGGATGCATTTCTCCAACAGCCCAGATCTAAGGAGTTCCCGGGGACACTGTGGGGCCCAGCGAGGCAGCTGGGAGGCGGGCCCAGCCCCACGGCAGGGCTGTGCCGGGCCCCGCGGTGGAGACGGGCCGGGATGCTCACCTTTGCAGATGAAGCACTGGAGGTGGAAGTACTTGTTCTGCACCCGCAGCACCTCGCCCCTGCACACATTCCCGCAGGTGTTACACAGGATCGCCGTGCTGGGCGGCTTTTCCGGGGGGCTGGGAGCAGCCTGCGGCTCTGACACTGCAAGGGACAAGGAGCAGCATTAAAAAGCGGGATGGGCCAGGCACAGGTGAGCAACCCAGCAACTCTTCAAGCGCTCGGGGCCCCACATAACCCCCCAGCATGACCCAGAGGGCATCGGGGGACCAGCAGAGGTCAGGAGATGGGACACCCTGACAGCAGTCCAGTCCCCCACCTCCCAAAGGGGAGCCGATGCCCCCTGGCCCTCCGGGGCCTCAGAAGCAAGGCACCCCCCAACACACACACTCTTCTGAGCTTGAGAGTCCTTCTGCAGACGGGGACCCAGGTCCTCTCCTGTGCCATACAACCATCGCATCCTCCTGTGAGCTCGCTTCCAATCCACTCTGTGGCCTGGGGACGGCGACCTGAGTACTGTCACTGTTCCCTGTTATAGCCAACCACAACCGAGGGTGGTCACGGAGACCCCCAGAGGGACGGGTCAGGGTGGACGGCCGAAGGGCCCACCTGTGGGGCTCCAGGGGTTCTGGGCAGGGCCGCCGCTCACTCACACCCTCCAGAGGCACCTATGGGGGCAGCCTGAGGTCACTGGGGCCCACGCAGCGTCTGTGCCCAGGGAGCTCCAGCCCAGCAGTGGCCACAGCCAGGTGGTCAGGGGACGACCAGGGGCCAGGGACCAGCTCCTCTCAGGCCTGATGGGGCTGGGGGCCTGGGGGACCTGGGAGGCTACGGAAAGGGCGGGGGGCAGATCCCACATGCCTGGCAAGGGGCAGGCTCGCCCTTCTCAGGCTGGTCCTGGGTGGGAGGTGGACCCGGGCTGCGGGGGGCAGTGTGGGCCGTGCTCTCTGCCCAGCAGGCTTCTGTACCAGCCTGCAGCACTGCCACCCCACTGAGCTTCACGTGACTCCCTGAGAGGAGCTGGTCCCCTTTCCTCCACGGGGAAGCTCGTCCGCTCCTCTGCCTGCCTCTGGGTCTCTGCCAGGCGCAGGGATGGAAGCAGACCCCCTGCTCAGCCAGCTCTAAGCACACAGCCTAGCGAGGACCCACATCTTCCAGTCCCACCTTCCGTCTTGGCCTGGGGTCCCCTGACCTGAGGCTGAGGCAAGGATGGGGTCCTAGCGGTGTACCCAGGGGACGCCAGGTGGCAGAAAGCAGTGGGGAGGAAGGAGAGTGTGCTGTCGAGCTGATCTCTCCCTGGGAGACCCTCCAGGGCATCCCTCAGGAGGAGGGCAGGGGGCTGGGGCACCGACCCCCCATCGCCCGGGTCAGGGCTGCCCCGGAGCAGGGCTCTCGGCCCCCTTTTCTGGGCTGAATGAGTTCTGAGGTTTTATCAGGGGTCCGGAGCTCAGGAGCCAGGGAGCTGCAAGCATACAGACACACGTACACAGAGACACACAAACAGACACACACATACAGACAGACAGACAGACAGACACACACGGACAGACAGACACACACATACAGAGACACAGAGGCACACAAATATACATTCACACACATGGACAGACAGACACAGACATACACACACAGACAAATACACAAGCATATGTTCACACACACACACATGGACAGACAGACAGACACACATGGACAGACAGACACACACATACAGAGACACAGATGCACACAAATATACATTTACACACACAGACAGACACACACAGACATACACACACAGGCAAATACACAAGCATATGTTCACACACACGGACAGACAAGACAGATACACACACAGACACACATACAAACACACAGAGACAGAAATATACCCTCACACACATGGACAGACAGACACATATGTACACAACCACACACAGACACACATACAGAGAGACACAAGTATACATTCACACATGCAAGGACAGACACACACATACACACATAAATATATAAATGTAATGTACATATATAACACACAGATACAGATACATGCATACACATTTAGACACTGCTTTAACACCATCACTGATGGAGTACTAGGCACCGAAGTTTTGCTCACTCTTGTAAAGATGGAGGAGACGGATGTCACACAGAGGACATTTCCCCATCCAGCCTCCGGCCTGCCCCCCAAGCCTCCAGACCCCCTTTCCGCACAGTCCCCAGATCCGCAGTGCAGGGGCCCCTCCTCTGGGTCCCGCCCGCGGGGAGGGATTGACTGCAGGCAGCTCCACATGGGGGAGCACCAGGCCTTCCAGGAGGAGGCTCTGAAGGCCCCCAGGGGAGCAGCCGTCTGGGGCCAAAAGCCATCCTGGGGCTTCCCCGAGGTCTCAGCGGTAAAGGGTCCACCTGCCCACGCAGTGGACACAGGTCCAACCCCTGACCCCGGAAGATCCTACGTGCCGCGGAGTGACGAAGCCCGGGCGCCAGCATGGCGGAGTCTGTGCTCGAGAGCCCAGGAGACGCAACGGCTGAGCCGGGCACCCCAGGGCCCGGGAGACGCAACACCTGAGCCGGGCACCCCAGGGCCCGGGAGACGCAACACCTGAGCCGGGCACCCCAGGGCCCGGGAGACGCAACGGCTGAGCCGGGCACTCCAGGGCCCGGGAGACGCAACGGCTGAGCCGTGGACACAGGTCCAACCCCTGACCCCGGAAGATCCTACGTGCCGCGGAGTGACGAAGCCCGGGCACCAGCATGGCGGAGTCTGTGCTCGAGAGCCCAGGAGACGCAACGGCTGAGCCGGGCACCCCAGGGCCCGGGAGACGCAACGGCTGAGCCGGGCACCCCAGGGCCCGGGAGACGCAACACCTGAGCCAGGTGCGTCCAGGGCCCACACTCCGCAGCAAGAGAAGCCCCCACGATGAGAAACCCACACACAGCAACTGGAGAAGAGTCCCCGCTCGCCGCAACTAGAGAGAAGAAATCGCGCGCAGCAGGGAAGACCCAGCACCGCCAGAAGTAAATCAACAGGCGAAATTACAGACATACACATTTTAAAAATATATATGCACACCAGGACTTCCCTGGTGGCTCAGATGCTAAAGCACCTGCCTACAATGCGGGAGACCTGGGTTCAATCCCTGGGTCAGGAAGATCTGGAGAAGGAAATGGCACCCCACTCCAGTACCCTTGCCTGAAAAAAAACCCATGGACGGAGGAGCCTGGCGGGCTACAGTTCATGGGGTCGCAAAGAGTCGGACACGACTGAGCGACTTCACTTTCACTTTCATATTTTAAAAAGCGACCCTGTCTGGAGAAGCAGGTGCAGGAAAGCAGACAACTGGCACAAAAAAATAGCCTGGCATCACCCCCACTACCCCAGGCCCAGCGTTAAGGACCGCCTCGAGGTCTCAGACGGGTCGGGACCAAACAGCTCACTGGGCGATGCAGAGCCTAGTGAGGGCTGCGGAGCCCCGCCGGCCGTCCTGGATGCCGCGGGGACACTTCCACTCTGCTGGGAGTGTCAGCGGCAGGCTTGCCCCTCGCTCTTTTCTCCTATGCAATCATCACAGAAACCCCCTCATCCAGTACTTAATAAAACCGATGGGGGATGGCGTGCAGAGAGCAAGGATGTCCCGGGCTGGAATTAAAGATTCCCCACGGGGCCTGAGGACTGAAACCTCAGGCAGAGCCGACTCACGACCGTACACCGCCCTGGGGCTGCCTGGGACTCACGTGGGGCTGAGAGGCTCCTGAGTCACCCCGTCCGCATCTGAGGCTAAATCAAGATTTGGGGGAGGGTTGGGGGGAAACGCATGTTACTTCTCACCCACTACGCGTACAAAGGACAGCATGCCTTGTGTCTCCACGAGTGGACAGGCAAAGTCTTACACCAGCACCTGCGTGGGATGGAGCAGTGTCAGAGCCCCGGGCGTACCTGCGTACAGCCCAGCCTCACCTCCAGCAGGCAGTGACCTGGAACTCCCAGCCATCCAGCTGTCTGTCCGTCCGCCCTCTGCTCACAGCACCTGCCCCAGGGGTGACTAGGACCTCAGGCAGAAAGGCTTGCGTAACAAGCAGCCCAGAGTCCCACAAACCATAAGAGATCAATACACAACAGCTCAGTTCAGTTGAGCCGCTCAGTCGTGTCTGACTCTTTGCGACCCCATGGACTGCAGCACGCCAGGCTTCCCTGTCCATCACCAACTCCCAGAGTTTGCTCAAACTCACATCCATCAAGTTGGTGATGCCATCCAACCATCTCACCCTCTGTCGTCCCCTTCTCCTCCCGCCTTCGCAACAGCCGCTGTCATTCGCAAGAACTCACAGCCTGGCACAGCCAGTTTCCTGGTTAACATAAATATACTTGATCTGGGGTGAAAGCTGCTTTAAGAGGGTCGTTTTGTGGGAGCACCAGCCCTGCTGCCTTCCGCGGCTCCTTCTCTACACCAGCATCCTGCCGCGGCTCTGGGTGGCTGGGTGAGAGCGGGGTGCTGCCCCCTGGTGGTGGTAAATAGACACTGTCCAGAGGGGGCCTGTCGGTGTGGGCACCACCTACTTAGGTGTCCCATCCAGCCTGCATCTGCCCGCTTGTCCCTGGGGTCCCAGCCTGAGGGTCCTGCGGATTTGAGGTCTGGGCCTTCTTACCCTTCAAGATGGACTCAGTCCTCGGACCTCATGCAGCTGCACCAGTCGGGTGCTTTGCAAAGGGGACCAGTGCTCACAGAAGCCTGCGGAGCAAGGGCCACGGTCAGTGATCCTGCCGCCCAGTGAGTGGACTGAGGCTGGGGGAGGTGGCCCGGTGGGTACGTGGACACAACAAGGGGGAATCAGGATCCCCTGCGTGGCAGGACAGGGCAGGAGTGGGCCCTTAGACCCGGATGGGGTGGTTCAGGCCAGACCTCGTCACATAAAGAACTCTTGGGATGAGCTATGAAGCCATGAAAAGACCTGGAGGGGCCTCAGGTTCATGTTACTGAGTGATGGAAGCCATTCTGAAAAGGCTGCACACTGCACGACTCTGACGCTATGACATTATCAAGAAAGGAAAATCACGCAGACAGTAAAAGATCAACGGGTGTCAGGGGCTGGGGGCAGGGAGGATGAACCGGTGGGCTCAGGGATTTCAAGTGAAACAGTTCTGTGTGACCGCATGACGGTAA